AGTTTCTCTTGCCCAGCACCTGCCTGTAGGTAGGCCCCTTCTCTCAAAAAAAATGTATATACTGTGTGTGTATATATATATATATATATATATATATATATATACACACACACATACAGTATCTCCCAGAAGTGAGCCCCCCTCCCCAGACTGTATACAATGTATACAATGTATATATATATATATATATATATATATATAAATATTATTAGTATCTCCCAGAAGTGAGTCCCCCCCTCACATTTGTGTCAATACTTGATTCTCTCTTTTCATGTGACAACACTGAAGAAATGACATTTTGCTACAATGTGACGTAGTCAGCGTACAGCTTGTATAACATGTAAATTTGCTGTCCCCTCAAAACAACTCAACACACCGCCATTAATGTCTAAACCGCCGGCAACAAAAGTGAGTGGCAAGTGACAAGGTCCAAATTGGGCCCAAAGTGTCAATATTTTGTGTGGCCACCATTATTTTCCAGCTTTGCCTTAACCCTCTTGGACATGGAGGTCACCAGAGCTTCACAGGTTACCACTGGAGTCCTCTTCCACTCCTCCATGACGTCATCATGGGGCTGGTGGATGTTAGAGACCTTGCGCTCCTCCACCTTCCATTTGAGGATGTCCCACAGATGCTCAATAGGGTTCAGGTCTGGAGACATGCTTGGCCAGTCCATCACCTTTACCCTCAGCTGCTTTAGCAAGGCAGTGGTGGTCTTGGAGGTGTGTTTGGGGTCGTTATCATGTTGGAATACTGCCCTGCGGCCCAGTCTCCGAAGGGAGGGGATCATGCTCTGCTTCAGTATGTCACAGTACATGTGGCATTCATGGTTCCCTCAATGAACTGCTTGACTGTAGGCAAGACACACTTGTCTTTGTACTCCTCAACTGGTTGCTGCCACACACGCTTGACACCATCTGAACCAAATCAGTTGATCTTGGTGTCATCAGACCTCAGGACGTGGTTCCACTAATCCATGTCCTTAGTCTGCTTGTCTTCAGCAAACTGTTGAGTTATTTTGAGGGGACAGCAAATTTACACTGTTATACAAGCTGCATATATATATATTTCCTATATATATACTGTATATACTGTATATATATATATATATATATATATATATATATTAGGAAATTGGATATACCATTAGCAATAAGCCAATGGTCCAGAGGATGACCTATAAAGGGAGGGGTCCTGCACAAGGGAGGGTCCTGCATAAGGAGCAATGTTACAACAATCATTTGTATTAAACGCTTTCCCTGCTGGCCAGCATATTGGGGTCCAGATCCAGCACTGGAGTGCTCAAGATAAATTCCTCCTAACCCGGGTATAGGCGTCTGCACTGTGTCCCAAGCAAACAATACTGTTCCACTTTAATGGGGTGCAATATGGTTGTCGAGAGACCTCTCATCAACTTCTGGCTGATCTCTCTCTGTTCTCCCTTGGTGGCTCAGCTAAGTCAGTGGCAGCAGCATCCTCCCCAGTGTGGCAGCATTAGTCAGCTACAGTGGCATTCTCCCCAATGGTCAGATGGCATCACTAGATACCGACAATGGCATTCTCCCCAATGGTCAGATGGCATCACCAGACACCGACAATGGCATTCTCCCCAATGGTCAGCCAGATGGCATCACCAGACACCGACAATGGCATTCTCCCCAATGGTCAGATGGCATCACCAGACACCGACAGTGGTATTCTCCCCAATGGTCAGATGGCATCACCAGACACCGACAATGGTATTCTCCCCAAGGTCAGATGGCATCACCAGACACCGACAGTGGTATTCTCCCCAAAGGTCAGATGGCATCACCAGACACCGACAGTTGCGTGCTCCCCAATGGTCAGATGGTATCCCCAGACACCGACAGTGGCATTCTCCCCAATGGTCAGATGGTATCCCCAGACACCGACAGTGGCATTCTCCCCAATGGTCAGATGGTATCCCCAGACACCGACAGTGGCATACTCCCCAATGGTCAGATGGTATCCCCAGACACCGACAGTGGCATTCTCCCCAATGGTCAGATGGCATCACCAGACACCGACAGTGGCATTCTCCCAATGGTCAGATGGTATCCCCAGACACCGACAGTGGCATTCTCCCCAATGGTCAGATGGTATATCCCCAGACACCGACAGTGGCATACTCCCCAATGGTCAGATGATGGTATCCCCAGACACCGACAGTGGCATTCTCTCCAGTGGTCAGATGGCATCACCAGACACCGACAGTGGCATTCTCCCCAGTGGTCAGATGGCATCACCAGACACTGACAGTGGCATTCTCCCCAATGGTCAGATGGTATCACCAGACACTGACAGTGGCATTCTCCACAATGGTTAGATGGCATCACGAGACACCGACAGTGGCATTCTCCCAGTGATCAGGTGACAGCACCGGTCGTCCCCACAATGTCCTCACCACCTTCGTCTGGAGCCCAGTCTGTAATACGGGCTCAGTCTGTCCTGGGACTACATCCCCCACAAGTCTCAGTTTCTCCCAGCAGGCTCTTATCACTCCTAAGATGCACAGCAGACCATATGCCCTTCCTCTGTGTCCTCCGTCAGCCAATCACAATCTGTCCAGCATCCATATTGGCTTGCCCAAAATTGCCCACATCTTCCGCGTTAAAGGCACTCCGTAGCTGAGCATTTGTGTTTATGGTCTTAGTGTACCAAATACAACTAATGTATATTCACTATTCCAAGATGCGTGGTGGAGCAACGCGTTTCACATTTACCGTGCTTCTTCAGGATCCACTCCCTCAGACTGACTGATGATATGGCTAACAAATAATAATGGGAAAGTACAACTACAAGATACAATGACATGATATTACAAGATATAAAGTACAAAAAAATATAATAGTTACTTATATACATCAAAGCAAAAGCAAGCAACACTTGTATATTCGGAGGGAAAGATAGCAAAACTTTTTTTTTAAATGTTAAATTGTTGTAATTTTTTACGTTGTTATTTGTTAGCCACATCAGTTAATCCAATTTACTAAGCTAAGTGAAGACGCTTGTGACGGAAGTGACTTTGGGTGGGGGGCCCATGGAACACAGCCCCCTTTGGAGAGGTGGGGAGACCCCTGTCTCAGCTCCCCATGTTCCTATTATGTGTAAGTCACCGTGTGCCTGTTAGGGGTACAGGGTGATCTGTCCTGATATTGTGTAGACATGTATAGGTGGGGCGTGGGGGTTGTTCATTGTTTACTGCCAGGTGGTCCCATTGTTCTATTGTGTGTCCTGCTTGGGAACAAACTATTATGGGATGTATGGGTTTGTGTATTGTCTACTGCCACTTGGTGTATCCCATTGCTCTATTATGGGTCTTGCTTGGGAGAAAAGGATTATCACTCAATAGAACAATGGGACCACCTGGCAGTAAACAATAAACAACCCCCACACCCCACCTATACATGTCTAAACAATATTAGGACAGATCACCCTGTACCCCTAACAGGCACAGGGTGACTTACACATAAGAGGGATATGGGGAGCTGAGACAGGGGTCTCCCCACCTCTCCAAAGGGGGCTGTGTTCCATGGGCCCCCCACCCAAAGTCACTCCCGTCACAACGCTCTACTTTTTTACATTTAAAAAAAAATAAAGGGGGCGTGTATCTGCCATATCATGTGTAACAAAAGCCCCCAGTTCATGTTTGAAATAACTAATATTGTTCTTACTTTATGCTGTAGGCCATTCTGCAGCTCAGCCACTGTTACTGAAAAGAGCCCCTCCCTATACCAATGGTGCAATATGTAGCTGATGTCCCTTTTCACCTTGTACAGACTATGTCAGGACCTGGATCAGCTGCTGGTGGCACTGTGCATCCAAAAGTGGAAGGTTGTAGTTCCAGTGTCCACCAGACACTCCAGCCAAACAAGGACCTCCACAGACCGCTTTTCAGGACGGATGGGATTGCTGCCTGGAGTAAGACCTGTTACGGGCCCATAATAAGGTATTGTCAGGGCTCTGTCCACAGCAGAGGTACTAGGAGACCTGGCACTCCTGCCAGTACCTTGCATGGCCGCAGAAGTGCATGTTGACAAAAATCTATGCACATTGGCGCATGGATGTGAGCTGGAACACGCATGCGCACAGTTGCGCACGTATTGGCTCAGTTTGGCACCAGACGGCCTTTATAAGGAGGCCCATCACTCCCTCAAATTGCTGGTTGATCTCTGGCCCCCCAGGACCTTTGTGCGTATTCCCTTGCTATCCTGATTTCCTGTTACCGATTCGGCTTACTCTTGGACCTGTGTTCTCTGCCTGACTCCTGAGTTGGCTAATGGATATTCTCTTCTGCTCTTCTGTGTATGACCCTGGCTATCCTATTGACTACGTCTGCTCCAATCTCCACCTGGCACTTGACCTTGAACCGACGATCCTGTGGTCCTCTGTTTCTCTGAAGGCCTGCAGACCTCTCATGGGCGCCACCTGTCTTCAGACTCCATTCCAGTGCATCAGCTGTGCTCCTGGGTATACCTCTGACCAGTACTCCTACAGGCAACCCGTGCTACTTTGGGCCCGACTACTGCAGTCCCATATCCAGGACCTAGCCGCAAGGGAAGCCCTCTCTCCATTGGCCTCCATCACCAGGCACGTGATAGGTATATAGTGTAGCATTTATTTACTAAATGGGTCAAGACCGTTAAAACGAGACCATAAAACCATATGGAATACAAAGAACAAACGCGGCCAGACTTACAAAGATGGCCGCCGATCCGAGACCCAGACCCGACGGCGTGACGTCAGCACGTAAGGCTCCTCTCGACGTGTTTCATGTGCACACATGTCTTCAGGGGATATGGCTGATCCCCTGAAGACATGCGTGTGCACGAAACGCATCGGAAGAGGCCTTACGTACTGACGTCACGCCGTCGGGTCCGGGTCTTGTATCGGCAGCCATCTTTGTAAGTCCATGAGTCTTCACATTTGCTGGTGTTTGGATGGATTTTGGTTACAATGTAAATAAATATCACTTTACGCATGCACAGTCTGGTCCCAGTTTCCTGAGTGCAACCACGCAGATGTGGCCATCCCTGCTGCTGATCCCTGACAGTCTATGGCACGGGTGTCAAACTGGCGGCCTTCCAGCTGTTGCCAAACTACAAGTCCCATGAGGCATTGCAAGATTGACCGTTACAAGCATGACTCCCAAAGGCAGAGGCATGATGGGACTTGTAGTTTGGCAACAGCTGGAGGGCCGCCAGTTTGACACCCCTGACCTAGACGTTAACCTCTTCCCAGCCAGTGTCATTAGTACAGTGACAGTGTATAGTATTGTCACTGAAGATGTCAGTGGGAGTTAGTCAGTTCCCCCCACAGCATCAGTTAGCATCAGATTGCCCGCCGCAATACAAGCATGACTCCCAAAGGCAGAGGCATGATGGGACTTGTAGTTTGGCAACAGCTGGAGGGCCTCCAGTATGACACCCCTGGTCTATGGGATAAACAAAATGTAATATTGAATAGATAGAAATCTGATCACTTCTAGGTGTCTGATGGTGCCTATTCCTGTATGCCCTTCACAGACATACTGTACTGTCCCCTATTGGTAGTATGGTGGAACTACACCAAGATGGATGTACCTGGAATGAGCTGAAGGAGAGTTCAAATAGAAGTTTGATGTAGCGCACAGATCCCTTGGCGTGTTCATCGGTGATGAAGGCGAAAATGATTTCGTGCGTCCCCAGTAGCGGGATCAGCGTCAGAGTGGACTTCGCCAGCCTGCAGATTATAAAAACAGAACAAGAAGATAGATTAACTGAAGTTTCAACTCAGAAGCAGCTCATACAGGTGTGATGGCCACGGCTTCATGACCTCAATAGAGGTAAGCACAGGGCTGCTGTTGGAAATCACGGGGCCCCATACAGCCAACCTGACAGGGCCCCTTCAACAACACAAAAAACACAGTTTACTATGCTTCGGTTATGAATGAACACGGTCAGTGATGGCTACCGATCACTCGTTGTGTTCGTTCAGGAAAGGAAGGGGGTGGTAACTGGACCCTTCTTCCATCCTCCATCCTGAAGGATCCTATTGCAGCTTGCAGTGTGCTTGCAGCTGCTGGTGGGATGGAGAGGAGGAAAGCCAGCAGCATTGCAAAGGTGGGGGGACTAGGCAGCAGGGGAAAGGTACTGTGCACAGGGTGGGTGATGGGTGTGGTGGGGGGGTCGTTGGGCAATTAATGGAATCGATCCCCTGTATGGCACTCTCTATTGCAACTGAAAGTCAGCTGGCTGTAATTGCCTCCCCCCCCCCCCCCGCTGTGCTGATCACCCTCCCTGCCCACATTCACCTAGATTCTTGGGCCCCCCCCCTGCTGGCTGGGCCCCATACAGGAGGACTGGTGGTACCCCCTTATCCACGGCCCTGGGTACACATGATGGAAAAATCGGTTTCATTTCAGATTCGTTTATTAAGTGAATCATTTTGTTTTGTCGTGTTTGTTATTTTAGAATGATTCGTTTTCCGAATTTCCTGCGCATATTGGTTATTTTCTAATCTATTCGAAATTCGAATTTCAGAAGATTTTCATAGAATAGAATAGAATTTCATTCTATTCCGTTTTATTCTATTCTTTTATTCTCTATTCTATTTTGTTCTATTCTATTCAACTCTATTCTGGTTCAATCATTTGGTTCATCTGGGTCAGTTCTTACTTTTGGCAGCTTTTCGAGTTCCAACCACTGCTTCAAATAAATTGGCACATTGGTCATCATTAAATAATACACCAACTTGAGAAGAATAACAATGAGAACACCAGATCTGCCCATGCAGGAGTTTTAATTATGAGGAACTTGGCATAGGAGTCCTTGAGGATACCGGACACTTGTTTGTTAAGCATCAGGGCCATCATGTGGTCACTCATGCCATTATTCTACTCTATTCTATTCTTTTCTATTTTGTTTTATTCTATTCTAGTCTGTGTTATTCTATTCTGTTCTATTCTTTTATTTATTCTATTCTGTTATTTTATTTTTTGTCCTTTTCTATTCTATTCTACTCTCTTTTATTCTTTAGTTTTTTTATTCTATTCTGTTATATTTTTTCTATTCTACTCTATTATTACATATTCTGTTCTGTTTTATTATATTCTTTTCTTTTCTTTTCTATTCTTTTATTTTTAATTTTATTCTATTCTGTTTTCTATTTCTTTTTTTTCTAATCTGCTATCCTTCTCTGTTTTATTCTAAATAAACCTTTCCAAAACCGAGCTCCTAGTTTTCCCCCCAGCCCGCACCCCCCTCCCACTTCTCCATCACGCCCAAGCATGCCACCATCAGCCCCACCCCGCAAGCCAAAGTTCTAGGTGTCACTCTAGAATCCAATCTGTCCTTCCAGCCCCAGGTCCGACAAACTCATGCAGGCTCCACCTCCGCAACATCTCCAAGATACGATCGTTCCTAACCTCAGACACTACAAAGCAACTCATTCACTCCCTTATTATATCACGACTTGACTACTGTAACTCCCTCCTCACCGGCCTACCGCACCGCAGGCTATCCCCGCTTCAGTCTATCCTGAATTCTGCGGCCAGACTCATCCACCTTACTAACCACTCAGTGTCCGCCACCCCCCTCTGCCAATCCCTCCACTGGCTTCCGATTGCCCAACGCATAAAATTCAAATTGCTAACACTGATGTACAAAGCTGTCCATAATGCTGCCCCAAACTACATCACCGACCTAATATCCAAGTACCACCCAAAACATACTCTCTGCTCCTCACAAGACCTCCTACTCTCTAGCTCCCTGGTCTCCTCCTCCCATGCTCGTCTCCAGGACTTCTCCAGGGCTTCCCACAATCCTCTGGAACTCACTACCCCAATCTATCAGACTATCACCTACCCTCCTCACCTTTAGTTGCACCCTGAAAACCCATCTCTTCAGGGAAGCCTACCCTGCCCTCACCTAATCTCCTCCACTCCTCCTACCACTCCACCCCCCACAGCTATCTCCTCCTGTACCACTTTCCCCTCCCTCCTAGATTGTAAGCTCCAAGGAGCAGGGCCCTTGAACCCCTCGTGTATTGAACTGTATTGTTACTGTACTGTCTCATGTATTGTCTCCCATTGTATTGTACAGCGCTGAGCAAACTGTTGGCGCTTTATAAATACTGTATAATAATATTCCTATTATTTTCAATAAAGCAGCCTAAGTGGGACTCATCATCTTATTTCACTTTCATACCTTACTGTATATATTGCTACATGCTTCCATTTCGAATTCAAATTCATTTACAAATTTGAATTGGTACTTAATTCAAATTCATTTTCAGATTCGAATTTGGATTATTTGTTTTCTAATAATTTATTTCGGATTCGTTGAAATTTGTCTCTATTTTTATTCGGAAATTCGGATGCAACAATGAAAATTTTGTCCGAAATTTCTGTTCGTAACGAAACAAATTGCACATGTCTAGACCTGTGGTTAGATAAAACCGGGTATTTTATTATGTATGTTACAGATGGAAAACTGGTTGGCATTGTTGCAGTTATGTTTTGCCTTTTGTTACACAATTTACCACTGACAGGAGTGAATGCACTGCTCAGGTGTCATTCATTTAGTTAACCCTTTACTGCCCACCCCCCCCCCCCCCAAAAAAAAAAAGTAGTTTGGCTCTAATTAGTCCTGTGACGGGAGTCACTTTGGGTGGGGGGCCCATGGAACACAGCCCCCTTTGGAGAGGTGGGGAGACCCCTGTCTCAGCTCCCCATATCCCTATTATGTGTAAGTCACCCTGTGCCTGTTAGGGGTACAGGGTGATCTGTCCTCATATTGTGTAGACATGTATAGGTGGGGGGTGTGGGGTTGTTTATTGTTTACTGCCAGGTGGTCCCATTGTTCTATTGAGTGATAATCCTTTTCTCCCAAGCAAGACCCATAATAGAGCAATGGGATACACCAAGTGGCAGTAGACATGTCTAGGAGATAGGTGGGGGGTTGTTCATTGTTTACTGCCATGTGGTTGTCCCATTGTTCTATTGTGTGTCTTGCTTGGGAGCAAACTATTATGGGATGTATGTGTTTTGTGTATTGGCTTTGGTGGGGGGGGGGGTGTCTCCAGCAGCCCTCCTTCCTGATGGGACTGTCTGCTGGTGTGTCTCTTGTTACTAAAGGTAGATTGCCCCGCCCTGTGTCATTATGCGGGGGGGGGGGGGGTTGTTCCCTTGAATGTATATATCTTGTATCTGTGCTAAAATAAAATAGTCTATTTCCTGGTTTCCTTCAAGACTGGTGTCATCTAGTCTCGTATGGTCAGCTGTGGTGTCTGTGGTCGGTGTTCGGACAGGGAAGCGGTATTCTAACGGAAGTACCCAAGTGCAGTCGGGGTTCTGTTCCGTTACAGACATTTTTTCATCTGAAAATCGGACCTAAGAATAATGATTTTTGCTCTGTTAGTGGGGTCAATGGCACCGAACGTTTTTCGTGATTCCTCCCCTTTTCGGTGATCAGGCATGTTGGAAAATTCGAGAAAAACGACTGATTTTCGACTCAATGATGGTCAAATCGTATGATTGTTTTTCCAAAAAGAATATGCGCCATGAGCCGCGACCTGGAAGGAACAGAAGTTTCGCCTGTTATATGGGGTGAACTCTATGACTTAGTCGGCCGATTTTCAAATCATTCGGAATTCGACCCATGTATGGCCTGCAATAGGCAAATAATTTTCTTACAATTTTCTGCTCAATTTCTTTAAGTTTTGCCTGCAGCTATGTAGTGCAAGGCACTACTGAATCACTTTGAAGGTTCTTTTTGATGATCATATGTAGTGCAAGGGCCTGCCTAATGGAGGTGAAAGACGTGTTGAAAACCACGCATTTTTTCAAACGATAAACGAAAAATCGGTCGTTCATTAAACCAACGTTACCACCAACGATTACAAAAATCAGCCAACCAAGTCATAAAGTTCCCCCGATATAACAGCCAAAACTTCTGTTCCTTCCAGGTCACGGCTCATGCGCATATTTTTTTTCGTTAAAGCGATCGTACGATTTGGCCATCATTGCAGCGAAAATCGGTCGTTTTCCACATATTTTCCAACATGACCGATAATCCAAAAGCGCAAAAAACCCGAAAAGCGGCCGACCAATTAACCCACTAACAGTGCGAAAAATCGGCCAATTTTAGATTTACCATAAAATATATAATATGAGGCCTTAGGTTTGCCTCTTATTATATGTTTTTTGGTAAATCTAAAACAAAAATCTCAAAAACATTGTACAATGTATGGCTAGCCTAATGCAGGGCATAGATGGGTCGAAAATCGGCCGATTTTCGTACCGTTAGGCTACGTTCACACTAGCCTTGTGTGCAGGCGGCAGAGAGGCGTTTGGGAAGCGTTTTTACCGCTTCCCAAACGCCTCTGCCAATTCTGCACATTACAGCACATGGTGCTGTTCTAACGGGAGCGTTTGCGTCGCGTTGCGTCGCGGCAAAACG